CACGCGCACGTATGTACATACATAAATACATTCAAACACACACACTAGTGCTATTATGGGGGTTACTGACTACCATAAAAACTATGCGAAACAATAGGGTTTTGAGTGTCTGTACAAAAAATGTCGGTCAGTGGTGCGAGGTTATTATTATTTCGTCGTGTGCATAACTGAATGCTATCTAGTTTTGTTTAGGAAAGATGGGAATAGTCTTAGAAGAAAGAACATTTTTTTTTGTAAATGGAACACTGCAGAGTCTTGACTGTACGCTGTCCAACCATGTATGTGTAATTTAATGTTATCTTATATAAATAAAGTTATTTGTAAGAGTTTCTCCTGTAAGAAATACAGTACTTCTGGACACTTCCAGACTACTCCACTATTCCACTGGATACCGCTGATTTCCATGACTGTACATAAATATTGTTTATATTCCAGGGTAAGATGGGAGGACCGTACTCCAGCGCTGTGCCTGCCATCGTACCTGACGAGGAGGACCTTCCGGGCTGGGTGCCCAAGAACTACATTGAGAAAGGTTAGTAGTAAGCTAAATTTTTAGTATGCATACTTGTAAAACTGATTTGAACATAAAACAATTAAAAATTAATTCATGTTATTTTAGAAGTACCGAAGATTTAAGGTAGAGCAATACAAATTTATTAAACCCCAATATTTTCCTACTAAAATTGGGTAATGTTTTGATATGTTTTATCTTTATTGTATATCAACCTAGTTCGGTTTTTGGTGGTTAATTTTTCAGAACAATTCTTTAAAAAACAATGCTTAGGGAGGAAACGATTATATTAGGGGACCATTCATTGAATATAAACATTGTCTTTATGATAAAATTATGTGTTAAAGATTGTTAAGTAATATTGTCATTGGTGTGAATGTGTTGGTACATCTTTTTTCCTTGTGTCTTGTGCCTTTTGTGTATTTGACTCCTTAATAAATAAAAACTGAATAAACCCAAAGATATCTTGCCCGGTAGAAGCGCTGCCATCTATTAGTGAGTTGTTATTTCATTTTACTTATGTCCACCGGGTCTGGTATTGTTAATCTGCATAAGCGACGTCAGCCGTCGATCTAGTCCCTGATAACGGGGAGGCTAGTAAAGAAAGTGCATTATTTTTTTGTTTTAAACTGACAATGGGTTTCTACAGATTAGAGAAACCTTTTTGAATTAATTTTGTATTTATTTTATAATTTCCGTCTCTATTGGGTAGGTGCCACCAATATCCGATCCATTAATCTCAAAGTTTGCCAGTTTTAAATGAATAATGCATAATGATATATTGTACGTCAGTGGTAGCGATCTACGACTACTACGCGGACAAGGAGGACGAGCTGTCGTTCCAGGAGAGCGCCGTGATCTACGTGCTGAAGAAGAATGACGACGGCTGGTGGGAGGGCGTCATGGACGGCGTCACCGGACTCTTCCCCGGCAACTACGTGGAGCCCTGCGTGTAACAGCGCGCCAGCACTGGACTGGATTAGTGTATGCTAACGCCAATTCATACAATCCATGATAGCCTGCGTTACAACTGAACTGGCCTGTGTGAACCAGGTGTTATAGCTTTCCAGTCGTAACACTAGTATAGAAAGTTGTCAACCCTGAAATATCTAATGTAATGTGGAGAAAAAAAAGTATACCACGAACTTGATGTATTTGCATTGTTGATAAAGAAAAATCGAATTATAAAATTTTTGTTTGTGTTTAAAAATTTTCCAAATAATTCCAGTCAGTGCTACAGTCTTGCCTGGGTCGTAAATACATAAAAATTGTATGTGAAAGTAATAAATGACAGTTAGTATTATGTAATATGTAAGGGTAGTATTTTATTATTATTCATATGAAATAGAACCCCGAGTAGATAAGGTTATTATAACTTACAATAAAACTAGTTATTAGTATGGAATCATTCGAAAACAATGCACTATTTTTAGGAATACTTAGGAATATTTGAATGTTAAATGGTAATTATAAGTTCTTAAGGTATATAAAAATTGCTTGCAGAAATGTTAAGCTTAAGCACTGTTTTATTAAAAAAAAATTATCTGATTTTTTCTTTTTAGAATTAAGTGAAATTACTTACTTTAGGATATCAATGTAAGTAAGAAATTGCGTATTACTCTAAACTTTTTTTTTATTATTTTACTGAAATTATACAAACATACTATTTATGTTCTTATGTAGTAGAGTAACATTACCACATGGTATGTAGGTCAAAGAAGGTACAAAAAGAACCCAAAACAGAAAGTTCTATATGTCATTCATTTCTTTTATAACATCATTCAACTTGGAGGTGTCCAATTTCTATTATACACTAATTTATTTTATAGTATATTGTTTAATATTGAAGACATCTATAGATGATAGAAGTTTAAAAATATTTAGTTATACAGCAGTTATCTGCAAAATAGTGTAGTATTAATTAATTCTTATAAGTTGGCAATTTATATTCTGAGTAAATAGTTATATTACATGTTTCTTTTATTTGTACCCAACTAAGTCACAGCAATGGGGAGTAAAACTACATTTTGCTTACAGAGTAAAGAGTTGATAAAAGGAATAAAGGATAGTTCATTCAGGACTCTACACTAATTTAAATAAAACAGTATGATTTTATGAAGTTTTTTTTATTGGGAAATTAAATCAAACAAAGTCTTGCTTAAATCACATACAACCGCTTAAAATAAAATTATATATCGTAATGTTATCACATACACGCTTATATACAGAACACAGCAGACTCCTTATAAACTGAAGTGGTCAATTTCCTCTGCCCTTCCAATTCTATTCTGTCGGTTAGGTCTTAAGTTATTAATTGCATGTCCACTGGCTGAGACGCTCAGATAGCTTAAAAATGACGACACTGTCAGATAATGGAACAAAATCCGATATTTCCATCACATATTTTACATGATGGATTGTTATCAGACAGTTTACAATTTGGTGGGACAGAACTTAGGGTCTAAAATATATATTTAGATACATGTTTTGACTAACGATATATTGCATTAATGCGTATAATGAAAGAACAATGTTTTCATAAAAATCTACTCGGCAGTGAAAACCTACGCTAATAAGTTGTTTAGACAGTAGATTTACCTCATTTTCGAAATCCACGTAATTTTAAGATATTAGACATTAAGAACATATGAACCGAATTGGACAATTTTCTATCTATATTTACAATATAATAATTAAAAATACTCAGGTATATTAAACTTAAGTACCTAACTAAAACTAATGACAAATCTCAATTATTTTGTAATTCTAATGTTTTAATTAATTATTGCGACTTAACTTTATTCTCTGTCATCGATATCCATGTACACTGATGTTATTTCAGTTTCCTTGTCTTTGTCAACACTTTCTTGCACCTTGTCATCAACTTTGACATCACTTTTGTCTGTAGATTTTACATCTTTTTCCTTTTCAACTTCAGACTTTTTTTCAGCCTTTGTTTCCTTTTCTTCCCTGTAAAAAGTATTTTTTTAAACATGCAGAACAAGTAGGAATCTTAGGTCTATCTGTTGCCTACAAATTCCACCATATAACGGTGTAAACACCGCACAATGGATGTTTTTGCGGTGTTTACACCGTACAATATAGAATTTAAAAAATCTTAAGGCAATGTTAAGTGTGTTGTAATTAATTAAGAAAAATAATGATTAAATCCTGTAGTTTTTGAGTTTATTAGTTACATTGTGATGCAAACTGCATATATCGGAGAGGAAATTCAAAGATATGTTTGAAATTGGCCAACAGTGGGTCAGCATGTTTGACTAAGACCTAGTCACCCCAACTTAGGGTAGACTCCGACCCCTTCAGTGGGGAACAATTCATGTAATATTTATAATAAGACTTACTTAGAAGGTCCGTTGATGATTTCGACAACATCATCGTCATCATCATACTTAATGTTGACAACCGCCTCCACTTTGTTTTGAATACTTTTTAATGTTGAGTGGAATATCTTTGAACTTGCCTGTCACAAAACATATAAATGTTATCTAAATAAAACATTAGTGTAAAAATTATATAATACATATCATATAAATATCGATTACAAAAGTAATATAAGCAAGTTATTTAATAAGTTGTCAATTAGAGGTGTTCAAATATGTTGGCAGCTCGGAAACATGAATTAGGTGTACTGAAACACAGGTGCGGGGAGAGCATTGCACAAGTAGATCACCTTGAGTGCTCAAGATATTTTAAAAGTCCTTTATACTATAGTTCTGATTGTTACGATCATGTGTTTAAATTATTATATTATCATTTATGTTTACAATATGACTCTTTAGGGAAAAGTTAAACAGTTGTGACCATTGTGACCATCAAAAATCCACAGGGGATTTTTGATCATGTGGACGAGTGTTCGAATCCTACCATTGGATTATTAAACCATATCTGCTCTGTCCCCACGCGGGGACAGATGAGAATAAAAAGTTTCGTCCGTCCTTCATTTTAAGGGATGGTCAGAACTTATTTTATTATTTAACAGTTCCATCTGTTACCTTATTGGTGATTGTGGGACTAAAAGGTGGGACAGATGAAACTTTATTCTCATCTGTCTCCACGTGGTGACGCTCTGGAATAATCCTTTACATCTGTGTCAAATTTCACAGAGATTCATTCGACCAGTTTGGGTTCTAATATCAAAAGTTTTGCATTTATAATTTGCAAAAGATTTTAAGAATAGTGGTAACGATTTGTATCAAAATAGCGACGTACAGTGAGGGAGGTGAGGCGGGCCTTGGCGGCGGCGAGCTGCGCGGCGAGGTCGGCGAGCTGCGACTGCGCGCCGCGCTCCGCCTGCTGCGTGGAGGCGGCGGCGGCGCGCGCAGCCCGCAGCGCCGCGCGCGCCGCCGCCAGCGCGCCCTCCAGCCGCGCGCGCTCGCCCGCCGCGCGCGCCGCCCCCGCGGACATCGCGCGCACGTCCACCACGCGCGACTTGTACACCACGATACCTGCGCATCCGAATACAGATTATTGCATTATACTAGGTGAACATTTTCAATTGAAATTCACAATCTGTTTATCCAAGGGGATAGTTTTTTTTATTTTGAAAGTGAGACCAAATATCAGCTATTCCGCATCAAACAAAAAAATAATCATGTAAATTTTAATTTATATTTTTATTAATTTGATTCATCATAAAGAGTTATCGTTGTACATTAATAAAAAAGCAACAAATTGAAAACCTCCTTTTAGAAAGTTGGTTAAAAACAACAATGCATTAAAATATATGACAGCATATTTTTGGAAACCAAAATCATCCAAATTGTCATTTATTTTCATAGCCACAGATAATCTTTTGCTTTTCAATTTATTCGTTTTTTTGGATTTTTTTTTATTTACCTGTATCACTAACATCTGCGGTAACAGACTTCTCTTTGCCTTCTTGATCAACTGCTTTACCAAACACAGGCAGTAGCTCGCGATTGCCCGCAGCAATAGTTGCTTCTAGTTCTGCAATCTGCAAACAAACACACGAAATATAGACGTGATTCCAAAGAAAAGTTCAGTAACATCATAATTTCATTTAGTTTATGCTAGCGACATCGTCCGCGTGAAAAGCTATTCTTCCAGACTATCCTCCACATCTACGTCAAATTTCAAGATCCGAAGAAAATTTTAAGTTTAGATTTCTAACTCTAACAAACATCTACTCATCCATCTAAATTAATTTATTTAAATAAAGTCAATTCCCCGGGGATGAGTGAAATCTCAGTGAAGAAGGTACCGGTGCATTCCATTGGTGATCCCGAGACACTTAAATTGCAACTGAGGGCAAACGAGGAGTAGGATTCCCCCATACCAAAAAAAGGTTACTAACATGTGTGGGCACGTCGCAGGCGGCAGCCGGCGTGTCCAGCGGCAAGTCCTGCATCGCGTCTCCAGCTCCGCCTGAAGCCAGGTCTTTGATAGCTTGTATTAGTACCCTAAAGACACATTACAAAACAAATCAATAAAAAAACTTCGAAACAGATTGTTGTTTGCCTTTTGAGTATTATTATTTATTGTTATTCTATGCAGAAATATGAAAATACTAGTTTCCCTGTAGCTTCCTCGCCATGGAAATTTGTTATTTAAATTATAAACCTTACTTTATTGTTTTTTTGTAATTCTTAATTGTTTGGTTTTTTTCAATTTATTCACTTCCTAAATGAAAAAGCGTGAAAATATATTGCCTATAGACTGCCATAAGTGTAGGGCTTATTATTAAAAAAGTATTATCCAAAAAGATGCTGTGATTGCTGACTTCCTACATTACAGAGAAGTGTGTTGTTTACACTTTATTACATTAGTATAGTGTCAACAGATTAACAAAAAAAGGCTTACTTGTAGCTAAATGTATCTTTTATGCAGACTTTCTCTAATATAGCTCGTATCTGTGACCTTGACAGTTGTAAGCCGAGGCTCATGAACAGATTCTGTAGATCCTTCTTAGAGATGTTTCCACAGCGAGATGTGTCAAAGTAGACCAGGGACAGCAGCAGGTAGGGGTCCGGAGGCAAGTCCACTCCGCGACTCTTGCGCTTTGGTGAACTACTTCTTTCATCATCACTGTGAGAATCCTGAAATTAAAAAATAAGTAAATTAACTGCATCTACTTTTATTTATTCATGTAATATTTTATAGGAGAAGCTAGACAAAAACATAATGTATTTAATACATAGGTGTAAGTGAATAAATGTACAAGTGAACTTTGTTGTGTTTTGAACAAACAAGAAAATATATTCAAATATTCAACTTTTGTTAATAAACTAGCTTTTGCCCGTGACTTTATCCGTGCGGATTAATAAAAAACTTAGTAAGTAGTCTATGTGTTCTTCCGGACTGTTCTACATCAGTGACATTAAGATCTCTTGAGCCATTCCTTAGATACCTTCTAACAAACATCTATCCAGCTAATCTTATTATTATTTATTATCCTATTATTTATAATATTGGTAATATGTGTTTATATTATTTTTATATTCTATTTCTAAGTGAAATACATAATTAAAAACTAGACCATAAACAAGTGTAAATTAAAGCAAATGTTGATAATTTATATTAAAAATGTTATTGATTAACCAAAATGTTAAATTTAAACTTACTTTTCTTTCACGTCTCTTGGAATCTCTGCCTTTGTCATCTTTTCTATCCTTGTCATTGTTCTTGTCATCTTTTTTGTCTTCTGCTTTTTTCTCGTCTTTCTTCTCCGCTTTGTCATCAGTCTTTTCCTTGTCTTTTGCATCCTCAGTTTTTTCGGGTAAGGTGTAAAGAGTTTTGTATATGTAGAAACCGAAATCTCTCATAAGCATTTCATTGAACAGCTCCGCAAATACAAATAACTGAAAATGTTTAATGATTTAATTAAACAGAATGTAAGGGTTTTAATTTAGAAATAACATATTAGTTGAATTTAATTTTTAGCAAATATTATAAAAGTTTTAGACCAATTATTGTTTATTGACACTTGTAAAGTGTCTTTGGGTTAAATTTTATTGTCAATACAGAATCGAATTAAACAAAACTTACCTCAAAACTATGTTCCTTATTGTCTGTAATTCTGTAATCCAATAACAGAGATAGTGTAGCAACACTGCAAGTAAACTTGCCATTCTTAGCTGTGTTGGACGGGTGTACAATAATATGTGGGGTAGACGGCAACTCAAACCGCACCTTAACTGCTTGTTTCTCCTTCTCTAGCTAAAATGGTAATTATTGAAAACATTACTCACTGTTTTTATACTATTTATATGTGTTTTCTTAAACATCTGTTTGTCAATACCTTTTTCTTCTCTTCCTCCAATTCTTTCTCAGTTTTTGGTTCTTTGGGTTTTTCTTCCTTTTTTTCTGGAGCTTCAATTTCTTCAGGATTATCTTTAATCTTATTGTCTTCTTGTTGTGTTATTGGTGTGTTCTCCACTTGGGTCTCTGCTTTTGTGTCATTTTCTTCTTCCTGTTGTTCATTCTCACTTTGTTCTGCGTCTTCCTTTTTATTTTCTGCTTCGTCATCTTCCAGCTCCATAACATCCTCTTCATTACCATCTTTTTCTTTTTCAGTTTTAAGAAGTTTTGACAAACGAGACATCAATTGAGTTCTGAGACCTGTAGGAATAATTTGTTTGTGATCATTTCTATATCTTTTCTCGTTTATTATGTAGAAATATGTATTGTAGTCTTATATAATGCAGTAAATACAAAACTTTACCTGTGCTGCTAGCATTCCGAGCTTGTAGTTCCTGCTTCAGCTGTTCCACAGTTAGACTACGCAAGTTAATATTCGAATAGTGCGTTGGCTCTGGCTTCAGTTCATAGTCCTCATAGTTCTCATCAATTGTTATTGTGGTATCATCAAAGCTTGATGCATCCTAAAAACACGTCACTGTCAATCTAAATGGTAAAAAGAAGTTAAGTCTTAAGGCAATATGAGGGATGGTGTTTAAAATGATTTCGGAAAATTAACATAAAACTCAATTATCTATAAAAGGTTATTTCTAAAAATAAGATTAATGAGATGATTGCGAGTGGTGTGTAGATAATCGAGCGTGTCGATTTCCGGCCGACGCCGGTCCTACGGTAGTGTCGGCAACTGGCGCGGGTCCGTCTCCGTCCGTTAAGATGCGCGCAGCCGGATACAAAACCAAACAAAACTGAGAACAAACAATTTGTGATTTCTCCGCTGAATGTTCGCCGCTCTGCGCCGTCGCGTCGCCCTGGCGCTCCGGCTCCGGCTGCGGCTCGTCGCCATCGAGCCGACGTAACGTCGCGTCGCACGCGGCCTTATATCGTTCCTGAACCGACGTCCAGTCGCCACGCGACGGCTGCGCCGACCACACGTCCGGCAGGAACAACACCACACACTCGAGTCGGGACTTGCCGCCGCCCTCGCGCCAGTAGTAAAACTCCACCATTCGGTACCTGCGCGGGTAATTCAATTGTATTATGCATACTCACAATACGCGAACACTGACTCCTGACATAGACACGGCACATCCCGTACGAGAGTCAACAAACTGCTGTTGTTAGTACATCTCTGCAGCCGATTAGTTGCGCCATTCGCCATTCGCGATGTACGAACTCCGTACTCACAAAATGAATGTGTGCTGTACTATGATTCATTCAACAGATAGCTATGGTAAAACTACAAGTAATACCAATTCAACTCAAAGAACATAAAACAAATTACTTGTGGCATTTTATCCATAACTACCTCTTAAAATGATCTGCAAAAATCAGGACTCAGGGAACACCAGTAATTTAAGAAGATAACACTCACCATTGGGTACAGGAGGATAAATCTATGCCTGTAAGTGCCTTGCATGTACGTATGGCAGTTTTGACCAACACTCCAGGATCTGACTGAGGATTGTCACCATCTAATGAAGGGCTCCAAGGACCACCTATTGCAAAATTTTCACCTCCTTTCCCCTTCTGTCCTACAAGGAATTTGATCAATCGCGTCGGATGCAACGGTGATTTTGTCACCCGTTTATCTTTATCATCTCCCCTTGTTAGACCACATTTCTGATAAAGTGATTCCAAAGTTGGCATGCTGATCAACATTACCTAAAATAATAGTTCTAGTTAATTATAAATTATCAAATCCCAAGGACCCCTGGGATAGGCAGGAGCCTATTTCCACTCGGAGCCAAGGCTCTTATAATCACAATACAAGAAAGTTCATGAGGCTAAAATAACAACTGTGTAAGTCACTGGAAATAACAAATTTTATTAGGTTTCTTCATGCTAAAGAATTACCAAGATTTTTGATAATGTTCATCATGTTTAATCCATTGATGACGGCACTTACAAGAAAAAAACATTAATTCTGTAATAACTTTACTAACCTTGGCTGAAAATCTATAATCTGAATCAGGAGGTTCCAAAACAGTATCATTATGGTTTGGATTTTCCGCTTCTCTGCTCATAATGTGATATGAACATGGATTATTTAAAGAAAATGGTGCTTGAGGTGGGAATGTTTCTCCCCATCTTACATAAGCATTGAAGAAATCTGAAGGTATATATAGATTTGTATACCTTTGCGATAAACCTGGTACATCAGCTTTTTGACTGCAAAGGTAAGAGACAACTTGTTATAAGAATGAAATACTAAAACTGTTGAATTTTAATTATTACACCAAAGGTTAATAATCAAAATTCAACATTGGACTGCGTCCACTGGATGATTTCTAAATGAAAACTATAAGTTTATCTACAATAAACATAACTTACATATCAAGCGGCATTCGCGGAACTCGAACATACTTCACGGGTGATGGCTGATGGACAACTGGGCGTTTACGTGGTGGTGAATCTCTACGATTGCGGCTGTCACGTCGTTCGCGTGACCGTGAACGACTCCTTGTACGAGAACGTTTCTAAAATTACAAATAAACAAAATATGTTAGTACTAGTGTTGTGGCTAAATTTCTCTGTTCATAAATCACTAATAATTCGTTTTTTTCGATGTTATGTTTTAGATGTAAAAACTGAGTTTAACAGGGTAAATAAGTAGTACACCTACCCTGTCGTCTCTGCGAGACGGTCGGTCGTCACGTCGTGATGGCATAGGTTTTTTAGACGATGGTGGAGGCACAGCATTGTATGAACTAGATTTTGGAGGATTCGATTTCGGAGTATGATTAGACTTTGGCAAAACTTGCACACGGGTAGCGTTCCATTTGAAAGGCATATTGGAGTTATAAGTTGCTTCAACTAGCACCCGATCGTTAACTTTAGGTATAATTCCTTTTGCACAAACAGATGTTTGATAGAAAACATCATGATCAACAAAACCAAAGTCATTATGAGTCTTGGTGACCGTGCCCGTAAATACCCGCTGTTCAGTTCCCTGTTGTGGTTGATTACTTTGGGCGTTTTGATACAAACCCGCGTTCATACCACGTGGTGCTGGATACGCAACAACATTGCCCGGGTACATTTGACCTTGAGTCATTTGATTCATCTGCATTTGTCCTGCCATCGGCATTCCCATACCACTTTGAGCTTGCATCATGCCAGTATTAAATACTGTTTGTGTTTGTTGAAAAGGCATCATGCCTTGTTGTGTCATCATTGAGTTGGGATCCATTATTTGCGGGTTTAAGCCGGTAATGTTTGTATTCACATTTGATCTCGCCCAAGGCGGATTTTTCGCACCACTACTTGACTGCATTTTTAAGTATTAAGAAAATACTTTTCTTAAAGTTAACCAATATATTTAATATTCACAATTAACAGTTTATATATTTTTAAACACTTCAGATAACTACACTAACCACCAACTTTTGACAATTATCAATTTACAAAATGGCCGATTTGAGGAGCTTGGGTTGAACCAGAGACAATCGAATTCTCATTTCTTGGTTTCGTATGGCAATCGCATAAAGAGTAGGTTGCGAGTTTAAAGTTATTAAAAGACATGGAACGGAAATAGTAGAAGCTATCTTTTTTTTCCTCCAAGCACCAAATAGAAGCATTTTAGTTCATCCATAAAATACACTTTTTAATGAGATTTGTTGCAGGTTTATGCAGGCTTACATAAACATATATTTATGTTAAATATGTGTCCAATGACGAGACAATCTTCCTGCTGCCTCAAGTTCCTCAACAACAGTGATGTGCTACCGTATTGTAACAATATTAATGTTATTCCTTAATTAAATATGTTAGATGGTAGGTTTGTGCCGCTTTGAATAATTAACTTTAACTAATTTGTTTTATTTTAATATCGGTGAATGTATTCGAAGTAGAGCGTAATAATCCTAATTATATGGATAGGTTAACAATTACGATAAATATCTATTACATTAGAAACTAAAAAATGTTCTATCCCTCGCATGAGGCTGGATCTAGTACGCTGAGTTGAGATCAACTTCATCACTCAACCTCAACTAAAATTCAGTAGCTCACAGCGCTCGGACTCATATGCATGTGTCTACGTCGTAACAGTTTGCGCGCCAAAATATCGGGGAATATAATCATTTGTAAAAACTGTGTTATAAAGTTTTTAAATATGTTGTTACTCCATATTGATATTCAGAACATTGTTCTTATTATTTTAAAGCTAATATATAATAATTGACATGGTTATAAAAAGTTTCAAGGCAGTGCGATATTTCAGTACTTGGGCAATCGGCCAAACTTTAGATAAACACACGTTTGATGCATTTAGTTACAAAGTTTAAAGTTGATAAACAACAACAAAAAACGTTTGTAGTATTGTACTCTAAATAATTAACATTATTACAAAATAATAGGACTGTATATTAACTTGGTTATTTTTAATATGGTTGCGTATATAAAAGTGAAAGTTATCTTAAGTCTAAAAGGGTGAATTATTTCGTGTGATGTAAAATATTTATTTCGTGGTGCGTTTAACATTAATTATGAGTGTTGAATCATCAAAGCCAATTCGTAGTGATGCGGGTGAGCCGGAGTCACAAGACATATCAATAAGGAGTCCATCAATAAGGGTACCTACGCCGAAGAAATCCTTAGCACTGAGATTATGGGTGCTGTTGCAGCCGTTGGCAAGATTATGGGGCCTTATTACTGCTGTTGGTAAGTATATAGCGATCAAAATACTTTAAATTTCAGTTTGAACGAGTTTCCTTTTTTTTTGTTAATAAAAGATCTATATTGCTTAATTTTTTTCATATAAACATTTAATCAATGATTTCTTTAAATACGTACAATAAATTCAAAAATCGGCACAATCTATGAGAAAAATTATAGTCAATCAGAAAATAATTTAATTTTCAAACTTAACTAGACATTATTACATGAATTACAATTATCATTATTATCTGAGCTTCCTCCCATTTACAATTTGTCGGTCGGAAGTTCGATTATCGGACAAAACATTTACTACTATTATTAGTATATAAGGACTATTAAAATATATGCAGTTCACCATTAACTTATAACGACGTTCCAGAATTTAGTTGTATAAGTAACTTAAGGATTTAAAGCCAAACTATAGTTTTGTGATTTCTGTCTACGCTTAAACCAACCTTTACGGGTGAAGGGTTATTCAAATCTTCCTTATTTATTTCAAATTTTATTTTACATAGACATGTAGGAGGGCTTGTTGTTCAAAGAGGATTAAAATGAAATACAAGTATTTTGAACCCGAATTAAATTGACCGAAAAAAAATTAACATTTGGTTTTGCGATTGACATACATACGTTGTGTAGTTTTTTATTCACTAAGTTCAAATGTAAGATCACATACAAAAGTGTTTTACGTAATTGTGACGTGCGTAATTTGTACGTAAAAGTATTTTGTATAAACATTGAATAAATTAACATTTTCTTGACGGATAAGTAAAATAGAATTGATATTTTTTTCCCTCGATATTGTATGTATATTTAATATTTGTCTAGCAATGCTTATTGTTACATCTCATAAATTGTCAAGGTCTCGTCAGCTAGCAGGAAAACTTGTCATAATTATTGTTGTAGAATTAAGGAGTGCATAATAATTAATTTATTGCAGTATAATAAACCTTTTAGTTTTAATGTATATAAAGTTTTCCCATAGGTATTTATACAAGGGGAACTAATCGCCTATTAAGGCTGGGTCAGCTTCGTAAATCTGATGTCATTAGTACTCTTATATATAGGAGAAACGTTTACGGAATTTAAAACTCATTGATCTAACCGGAAAGAGAATAACATCTCCCGATGCACTAAATACATTGATTAACGTCTCTAGGAAGCATTTTTAAACGTTTTTGAAAACATAAATACAGATACAAAAAGATTAAAATGCCCCGTTACGTTTAAAAATGCTACTATATATACTACCCATCCATAGATGTATATATAGTAGCATTATATATATACGACCCATACATAGATGGGTAGTATATACTTTGCCTAAAGGGTAAAGGACAGTATGATGTGTAAAACTTTAGATTTTATATTTTACTACCTGTTTCCATGCGACTTCATCCGCATAAAATTATAAAAATTTCATTTTATTGTTCACATTTGTCAAATTATCAATTGCAAATGTCATAATGACATGACATGATGTCGAACCAGGGCAACCTTGCTTCCTTGATGTTGGCAACAACTTATGGTCTCTTTCCTACATTAGGGTTTTTATCCAAAATATTTTCCCCTAAGTTTAACGGCGTGAAAATATATAGCCTAAAGCCTGACGTAAGTGTAGGGCTTTTTATTAAAAAAGAGTTATTCGAAAATATGCTGTGATTGCTGACACCTTGCTGGCAACAAAGAAGTGTGTGTTTACGCTTTATTATAATAGTATAGATATGTACATTTTGGCATATTAAACGCATCATACCACAGCCCTATTAAGCCCTGTTACTAATATATCATCAAGAGCAATCGATCTTAACGAACGATATCAATTGTTTGCAATTGCCGTTACGTTTGTATGTACATTGATAAATTATACAACACGTATGTACATTCAACTGATAACGAATATTTTCATTGAAAAATTAGACTAGCGGGATATTTATACTTCCTCATACTTGGTTTTTGATATTAAAAATAATTAACACACGTTCTCATAGATGTTGAACCATCAAAAATGTATTCTTACTTAAAATTTTAAAATAGGTTGTGATCACAGCTCTAAGTGTTATCTTATTTACCGAATAAATTAAAGATGCGTATAATTAAAACATTCTTACATAAAATGTTCTTGTGTTATACCTTACAATATTCAAAGTACTGAGAAGACACATTAATTTTTTTTTATTTAATAACCTATTTATAATGATAAAAGACAATCGGTATCGAAATGAATGGAGAATAAGCGGGCTTTATAGTCTAATATTTCAATTTTTCGATGTTTTCATATATGAGAGCTTTGAGGAAGAGTCAGCGCTACACGATGTCATTAGGAAAAAACACAATTTGTTGTACGAAATTGATACAACGTGGTAATGCCCTCAACACACATCCAGTTTTAACCAAAATCAGACTGTACAATTAGCACTTACGTGCAATTTTTTTAAAGTGTCAGTTAAATTATATTGTTTGAGAAACGTGAAAAATGGTTTTAACTCAGCAGAAGTTGTAATATTTTCAACATTTCTCTTGAAATAACTCTGCAGTATAAAAACATCTGTTCGAAACTTTACTTGATAAAGTAAATATTTATGTTAGCTTAAAATTTTTGAAACGATAGTTAAAATAGTCTAGTGAATAATATTCGTGAGAAATTAATTTTAGTAGAAAGGAGATACCTAATTAGATGTGTAGGAAAAATTATTATAATAAGTAGTTATAATTTGGTAATTTAATGAAAAAAGTCAAATAATGACCATTGCAGTTCTCAGCGGTGCCGGAGCAGAACTAATGGTGCTCGGGTACGAAGTCGCGCCGGGCTTCTTGTAAGTATTTTCATCTGTATTCATTATTTTTAATGACAATTACAAGAAATATCAATAATTTTTTTGCTTTAATGTGGCACTTGTTATCCGTATTTCACTCGCGTAGTAGGTCACATGTAAGTTGAAGAGCATACAAGATCAATGTAAAAAAATAAAACGTAGTTGATTAAGATTATTAAAAATTTTATTACATACTAACTTTCACCCGCGAGTCCGTTCGTGTGGAATTAAAAAAGTGAGTAGCCTATGTCTTCTTCCTGGCTGTCCTCTACATCTGTACGTAATTTAATCGAAATTCGTTCAGCCGTTTAGGCTACAAACTCTAACAAACATTCATACATCCATCTAAACTTTCGCATTTATAATATTAGTATGATTCTTAAGTGTCCGATTCTAGGATAAACAAATTTAATCTCTCTGTTCAAATAGCACTCTGGGGAGTCAAAGTAATATTTAAATTTTCGAATTCCAAAAAAAAATGGTATAGGTAGTTACGTAATATGATTGTATGTAAGTACAATCCTGTAAGATTTGCCTAAAGCTAAATTTATTTGAGGAAAATGTTCATCTGCTCGAAACTGTTATAACTTCGAAACATTAAATTTGGCGCGACAAAATTTTGGATGGTAATAAAAAAGGGAGGTTTTCTTTTCATCTCGGTGTTGAGGGACGCGTTAAAAACACCTATTTAAGTAACTTTGACGTGTTTGAGGCTATATTGTGACGTCTAGGGCGTTGTTTTATGTGCGCGCCGCTCCGAGCTTAGAAACAAGGCTCGTTAGCAGGATCCTTACGTATAGTGTTCATTAACCTGGAATTCAAACGAGAAAGTACCTGTTGTTTCTTTTACAATTCCAGTGTAGATACGGAACTTTGCGTTAGTGTATTTATCTGTATGTTTTTAGATGGTTTAGAGAGAAAATACATGCAATAAATGTACTTAGTTTTGTTTTCGACAGTTACTAGAATAATTTGATATACAATTCTTATAAATCTTGTACTTATATATCATTCGTTTACATTTTATCCGGTATAAATGTTAGCGACAAACTTAAGTCATCAATATTTAGCATGCAATGTGTGAAAACTTTTTACGAGGCCTCATGAAATGTGAGAACATTTCTCCGGTAGGGTTGTAAAACTCCTTACTTTTGAACTTCTGACGATGAATGGAATGAAAATGAAGTTAAGTGAATTGCGCTACTTTCTCTATAGACCTGGATACCTAAATTGAATCATTTTAAAGTTTTCCAACTAGTCTATAATACTACATAACTGTTTCGGGTCTAAAATTACTTAGTTAGAATGGAAGACATCATTGTATCTCTATATTCAATTCTTAGATAACAGAGATCTGCTATAAGCTGCGCTCACGACACATTGTAATAGTATAAAAATAAACATGCTTAAATGATAAATAACTCAAACATTTTGTATAGAGTTGGCGCAGCTCTTGTCTTCGTATTGGAGACGATGTGGGTAGCTGCACTGTTCGTGGACTTGCTGTGCCGGCGTGGACAGTATACGCTGTCTCTACGTTGCTGGGACTTCACGAGGTGGTCCTGTGGTCGTGCGCGCGCTCCGTTCTACGCATGTGCCGCGACCTCCATCTTGTTTGCTAATCTGACAGTCCTTGCTGCTGTTTCAGGTAAAGGAATGTATAAAAATCAGTGTGCTATACTTGATAAGAACTGTTGTCCAGGCTAAAATACATTCTATTAATGCTCGGTTGCTGAAGTCTCCAATTAATTTATCATTACGTAGTGATTCATTATCGCTAGATTGGCCTGTGTTTCAACGGATTAAAACTCAAATTACGTATTTCGGAAGCGCATTTCATAAAGTTGTCGAAGCAAATCACTATCGAATGGTTACTAAAGCTGGGAAGCCGCCCATAAATAAGCTACGAATAAAAATAAAAAGTTAAATTTATTAATTTTTGTACTTGTAAAGAAAGGAAAGTAGTCACGAAAATTCGCGAAAAACCGAGTATAAAGCTTGTACGGGAAATAGCATAAAGTCATTCACGATAGACACATGACACAGTTGCGGCCAGCTACATTAAGAAGAGATTGGAAGCTGTTGCCAACACGCGAATTTTCCTCGAATAAAAAGTAACAGCCACAAACGAGGCCGATCCACTTAAACGATCTTAACGTACTTTTTACTTCAAAACAAATTTCCTTCCTAAAGTTTAAAAATAAAATGTAATAAGATGCCTTTTACAATAAGCTTTCAGACGCGTGTCCGTGTGCAATTAAAAAAAGTGAGTACCCTATGTGTCCTTACAGACTATCTTCTATGGCTATGCCAAATTTCATTGAGGTACGTTCAACCGTTTAGGTTTCAAACTCTAACAAACATCCATCCATCGATGTGATCTTTCTTATTTATATTTGTAAGAAGTAAGATTGATTGACGAAAGAACTGAGATAACGCGATTGAAATAAATAAGGATCACCTTTGAACATCTCTTCCGTCGCCAATATGTGGGTATTCCGGCTAATGGCAAATCTCCAGTACTGACACGCCAATAGTACTATCTCTACATTATGTATGGCTATTAAAATATATGTATTATTATTTAAGACATAAGTGTAATCATACTTGATGCTAATATAAATGCGAAAGTTTAGATGGATTAATGTTTGTTAAAGTTTGTAGCCTTAACTGCCTAACTGATTTCTATGAAATTTGTTGTAGATGTAGAGGATAGTCTGGAAGAACACATAGGCTACTCAATATTGTTGTTTTAATTCCACGCGGACGTAGTCGCGGGTGATAGCTAGTATTTAATAAAAAGTCTAAATTGATCTAGAGGTATGCGGTTATCTTGGTTCTACAACGAATGAGTATATCGTGAGGATATGTTGAGAATGCAATTAAAATATGTAGATAAAAGAATATGGAGCATATTATTTAACTATGCTACGGACGATATGAATATTTAATGTGTGTATTTTATAGTTATACTAATATCGTTAAAAAAACAGTAACTTAACGTCTATTCTTTATAGAATAATTAGCTTCCGCCCGCGACTCCGTCCGCGTGGGATTAAAAAAACAAAAGCAAGTAGCCTATATGTTCTTCTAGACTATCTCTAAATCTATGCCAAATTTCATCCAGATCCGTTCAGCCGTTTAGGGTACAAACTCTAACAAACATCCATCCAACCATCCATTCATCTAAACTTTCGCATTTATAATATTAGTATGGTGTATTTCTAATAAGTTTCTGTTTATCTATTTTGTTTTATTAGAAAGTAACATTTTTGTTTCATAGAAAAATGAATCGTGGGAAATTATGCAGCATTTTCATATAAAAACCGCATACTGGGAAGTTCTTGTTGAGTTTTTTTTAAACAACGATGGCTCGCTGTTAGCAAAAAACACGTCTAAAAGACTGGGACATAGCAAACATAGTTTTACATTTTGTTTGGACAGCTTTTAACTTTTGTCATGGGTTTTAAAAATTTGAATTGTTCTAAAAGTACCTCGTAGTGGAAAGCGGTATGTTGGTTTTTAATTTTAGCCGCTGGCATAATTAAAAAATTCTTTGAGTTTCAAATAAATATTCTGATATGAAGCTAGTTACCGTGGTAAATATTTTAAAGAATAGCCAGGCAAACGTTGGTAGTTATCCGTAATGTTTTTTTAAAATGCTGGTGCCATGCTTAAAAGCTCATAGCAAATTACCCTAGTGCTTTACAATTCGCCTATTCAAAACATTCACCAATTACACTATACAGTATTTTATTACGGGTCTAGATTTCGGACGGACAGGAAGCTGAAGAAAATATAATGTATCGAAGTCAAGCTAGAATTTGACGTTTTAGTAGTATTTCTTCTGTATTAGTTAGTAAATCTTCTACTGGTGGTAGAATATTTCAAACAGATGTGATTCAAAAGAATCTATCAAAGCTATAAAAGGTAAGCTAGATATTTTAGTAGCATTTTCTCTTTGTAGGTGGCTTACTGCTCGTTCTAGCAGCCTTACGAGCTGCGGCACCATTCTCCCCGTTCGCAACGCACGGGCCTCACCACGCACGCGCCGGCAGCTCCTTACTCAGCCAGCACGACTCCCCTCTACCTGACGTCTTCTACAACGCCGCGCATTCCGCTGACGACAAGTATGTTCAAAAATTACTACAGCTTTGTTACTTTTTCTGAACGTTTTTGTAATCTGGGAGACATTTGAGTAATTAAAGTGAAGTAAAATAACGTCTATGGAATTAAAACAGTAAAGTGATGATTTGTAATCTAGGAGAACTTTTGGTATAACCGCTTTGTCCATATTATAAAAGATATAAGTAATTATTTTAATACTAGCTTTCGCCCGCGACTTTCCGCATGGAATTGAAAATGAAAAATGAAAAGCGAGTATATGTGTTCTTCCAGACTAGCCTCTAAATCTATGTCGAATTTCATCGAGATCCGTTCACCACTTTATACTACAAACTCTAACACACATCCAGACATCATAACTTGCGCATTTATAATATTAGTAAAATGGGGTATACAGTCTGGTACGTGTATAATGTACAATATGGCATGTGAACGATATGGGACTCGATGGCCTTAATTTGGTTTCCTCGTTCAACATTATTCTGAAGCGTCTCTCGGGAGCGCTTATATGAAGCGGTTAATATGAACGTTAACACAAGTTGTTTGTAAGTAATTAAGTAATAGGAACTTATGTAAATCATAAAATGTACGCCACCTTGAATTTTGTATTACGATTTAAGTTCGTAAATAACGTACATACAAGTTTTGATTTCTAGTTTGAATAGTTAAAGTTATACTTACAGTTAACCGGATGTTAAATTTATAATAAAAAACCATACAAATCTACTTTTGTTACCGTTAGTACCAGACTTCTGACTCCCAAAGGCCTTGCTCTACGAAGTTCAACCTCTTTGCTTTAAGCGTATTACGTCCTATGGAGCTTTATAAAAGAGGTCTATTAAAATAAATCTGGATTCACATATATAAAAAATAACGAATAAGTTTCTATTTACAGATGTGAAGAAATGACTGTCCTCGATATAAAGACACCGGAGAAATCGCGATCGCCGACACCAAAGCAATCTCTGTTAGAAATCTAACTTATCTAGTGTATTTAAGTTTGGTTTATATATTATGCGTGCAGAATAACATAACTTTTTGTATTCGATGATTGGTAATGATTTCCATGTTCCACTTCTAGTGGACGTTCTCAGTGACGTCATTGGACTAAAGTGTCATGTTACTGCGACTTCTTACTTAATATTACGAAGTAATGATATTTAAAAATTGCGGCATTATGTACGATTTATTTTCTACATTAGTTGTATTAATTTTATATCGTAAGAGAACTGTGATAGTTTAGATTATAAAAATTATGTTATAAGTTGGATTTTGTTTAATATTATCAAATATTGATAGTACTCTATAAAATAAATTTTGTGCATAGAAACTGGTTTTATTTTCATTTAAATTTTAAGCTTGTCGTTTGCTTAATACAGCATAATAGGAGTACGCCGCTTTCATAATCTGAAAATTAAATGTTTATAGTTTTTATACTATTTCTCGTAAAATATTCCATAAAATTATCAATTCTTGGATTCTAGCCTTTGAAGTATTTTAACATTTGATAGATTTTTGGTGTGAACACGGTTTGCAAATCAGTGGCAGTCAAAGAATTAAACACTCTATTTTCACAAACAGGAAAACTTACAGACAAAAAGCAATCGTTGTTCATATTAGCGAAACCTGCAGCGGTGAGGTGCAGCGGCCTCTGAGCTCTCAAGATCGTCAGTAAGAGCATCTTACGGACCCGCGGCGGCATGCGCTCCCATTTGCACTCCATTACTGCGTCGGCCACACGCCTTGCCTGTAATATTTCAATACAAGAGAATGGAGAACAAGCAAAATTCAGTTAATTTCGGATTTCAGCAGTAGCCACAGCGTCCGAATAACTCATTAGCGATTTTAATTAGGTTTATTTCAAAGAGTAAAAGGCAAATCAGAAATGTTACATATCTTTGTTTGAATCAAGTCGATTCTAAAAAATAACATTGCTATTAAAAGTTGCTTATTCACATGCAATGTATATTTATTTTGTTTCAAGTCGTTATAAAGATAACCGGCAGACGCGTTTTATTACAAAAAGTATAAAGCGAATACGCGGAAAGTAAATCCCTACTCAGAATGTTATACCTTTTTTTCCTTTCTTATTCGTAACTAGGTACTCCAATGTCCTGGCAGCGTCGTTATCTTTTATCATGTATGTATTCTTTTTTCAATGCATAAGCAGTCATTCATGTATACTACTCACGACGAAAACTTCTCAAAAGAATGGCTCAAGGTGGCATTGTCGCGTTCTTTATTTCTATGTTATGTGACTGTGAGATGAAACACGTACTGAGCGGAACGCCTGAAGCTGTATAACTCGTTTCAAGCACCTTTCTTTCGGTACCACACCGTGTAATGGAAAGCACTAGAGAAAATTTGTTTTCGCAACAAAGTTGACATTCGTTGAATCATTTCACAATATATTGGTAAATGTGTTTAGCTCAATCATTAATTTGTCTTTACCATACATCTGTAGTAATATAATAAAGTGGTAAGTGTATTTTTGATGTATTGAAATAACTCAAAAACTACTGGACAGATTTTTAAAAAATATTTCAAGTCTAAAGCTACGTTGTTTTTTTTTATATTTCACGCGGGCAAAGTCACGATCAACAACTACTGTTAAATATGATTGCAGTTTATTTTTATTATTTAAAATTAAATGATAGTCTTACAAATAATTCTGTGTACCTTTTTTCTGGTATGTGAATTGTTCACATACAGAAAAGGTTTTTTTTAATAATAGAAAAACTTTAATCAGCTTACTTGGTAAGTAAGTTCGTTGCCAGTGAAGCATTGTATCGCAAGCTGTGTGATCATCGCAGCGAAGAAAGCCAGTGATGTTATCAAGCGTACTGACTTGAAGCTGGATGCATCTAACTGTAAAGAAAAAGTTTCTTAAGCTCAAAGAAGTATCGACGCGCGGTGTATCTAGCTTAAGGCGGTTTGCGCCAATTTTTAGAATTCAAAAGCTCTAGTCGGGATGTTACAAACAGTAGAGCTTTTGATCTTTTGTTTAATGAACATGTTTCTTAAGAAGTTCTTCAAAATGTTTATGTGTTTAACTAAAGTTTTAGTAAAGTATTAAAGAAAATCTATGCGATTTTCTTATAACTTCGAAACGTAAAGAAGCGTTCTGTGTGAAGTGACGTACATTCGTATTCTTCTACGACATTATTCAGAGTTAATAACAGATAAATATTGGTTTAAACTATCCTTGTTACCGATGGTGCACATTGCCGAAACATTTGTATTTTGTGTTAAAATTGTTATTAAGGTTTTTAAACATTAAGCATATGACAGTGTAAACCCACGCTTATTGTCGTACCGAAACTTGCACCATTACAGCACAAATGGCCGCCATGCTGGACAAGAGTTGAGTCACGAAGCCATATGAATACGTCATTGAGAACTTTTCCACGCAACTGGAAGTTGACAAATAATTAGAATTTTATCATGAAACCATATACACAATCAAATGAAATATTTTTACCAATAATAAAATGCATATAACTAATGGTATCCGTAAATGTTCTTGCTTGTATAATTTAATGTTTGGTTTTCTATTTAATAAACCATGAAAAAACAGTAACCCTTTACACCTAAGATAAATATAAAAGTGTCAAGAACAATGGAATCAATTATCACTTTGTTACCAACACATGTAGCACTAAATACGTGTATTCAGTGTTAGGTGTGTTATTATTTATTACAAAGTACGTTTTACCAGAAAAAAATGTAATATAAGTTCTTGGGGAACGTGGACATAATATTCATGCAGGATTCATTTCATAATCCTAAATTTTGACGATCTCATATTGTAAACTAATCATGACAGGAGTAACTATAGCTCTAAGTTTCTATTCCTTTCATTTTAGCAAACTTACGTTGAATGTGAACCGTGGATTATGTTGATTTCGGTGTGGGAGTAAGAAAAAAGCAGTCGTGTGACAATATTGGGTCGGTAATCCTAAGATATTGCACGCTGTCATATCCACACAAAATGCGGTCCCCCTTATTGCTAACATTGGTAGAAGATTGATATTTTTTCGCTCCGCGGGACACTGCCATTCGCAGCCGTTTCAATACAGATTTCCCACTTTTTATTTAACCATCGACTCGCCCTAGCTCGTTCCAGGTTTTTATTAACTAACTATATTTGCCTTAGGCTTACAACAGCAGTATAAGAATGGAGAATCTTATGCGTCATCAAAACAAGTAGAAAACCTGTGTGGATACAAGGGGCTAAAATTTGTTTAATGTATTTTTCAAAATTACCTTTTTTATACTTCTAATCACATGTTCCATAGTCAATTAAAACGAATTATTTTTATACTAGCTCTCGCCCGCGACTCTGTCCTCGTGGAATTAAAAAACAAAAGTGAGTAGCCTATGTGTTCTTCTATACTCATTCACATATACCAAATTTAATTGAAATCCGTTTAGGCTACAAACATCCATCTATCCATCCATCCCTCTAAACTTTCGCATTTATAATGTTAGTACGATTTTAATTCTTTTTAAAATCGTAATTCTTTTGTTTTATGGTGTCGAAATTGCATGTCCAACACAATAGTGCTCTGACAGACTATTATCCACAAATTGCGAGTCTGGGCCGGATTTTGGCGCGTGCAATCCCTCCAGTTAATTTACAACGCACTCTATGGCAGTTTAACATGGTTTGCGCGCATCGAACACGGCCCGCGTGCCAAAACGCACATGCTACTGGTCATATATCGTGCGTTAGTGGATTTATGAAAAAAAGTTTAATTAACGACTATCAACTGCCAATGACAATTACTACTCATGTTTATATTTCGAGTCTAATAGATCTAACGATTTTAAAAAAACAACAAATTGTAATAAAGCTTACCTGATTAATAGTTGGTGTTGCTTAAAACAACTTTTCAGTACCGACATTAAAGCCTCTTCGATTTCTCTATCAGATTTATACTTCCTTATAACATTTTCTTTTATGTCAAGATTATCTCTAGAATTAATGTGTTCCGAAGAATTTCTCACGCTATTTTCATTAATCTGAATACCTTGATAAAGATTTGTAATGACTCGATCATAAGCTGTTAGAAATGCTTCTTGTAATATAGTAAATTGACAGCTCATATGAAGAATAACAGATCCTATGAATGTATCAATCGTCATGACAATATGGCCAGTCCAAAGCAGTCCGATGGTTTCAAAAGCGTAGGTAAAAATGTATGGCCTTTCATCTTCATAGTTCCATGGTATGTAAATAGGTTGTGGTAAGGTCCTTGGTGGGCTTATTAAAGATTCGTTTAATTGTAATATCTCTCGTTTCCATTTTATATCTTGTACAATCCCGTATACAGTAGTATTACCAATCGTGAGCCATCCGAAGAATAGAAATGAGGCCGTCAATATTTTTGTTACTCTAATCGTGCGACGAATCAGACCATTGTTCTGATAGTAATCTTCCAAATCGATCTCTAAAATTCGAACAATGTCTTGAAGTTCTCGATTTTTAAAGAAGAATATATAGAGCTTTATAAGAGTAAGGTCGTGTGTTACAACAAATGATAGACTGAACATAAATCTATCTAAATCTTTATGACCTATGAATGGATCTATCGATTCCAGTCCAACGAAAATCACAACCCAAACTAATTCTGTTAATAGAGCATAATAAAAATACAATCCGGGAAAGTTCCGTGTGTCATTTTCGTCAGGATGATGCCACCAACCAAGGCCTAAAAATCTTAATAAAATATAATGGAAACCAAAATATCGCTTCGGTCGAGAAACGTCTGAAGTGTTCAACATTGTTGGGAATAATAACTAAATTGAACATTGAATATAGGTTTCGATCACACCTCTTTAAATTTAATTATTTAACTCGAACACTTCGAACTATGTAATTATTAGGTAAGAAGTATAATTTATAATACACCGATCACGAGAATAATAAATTGAATTAAATTTATATATTATGTAAGTACTGTTAGCAACGTAAGTCGTTGCAAACGAAATTCGCTTGGGTACGGGAGATCTATAAATGTCTTTTAGCAGATCATGTATAGTCGGAAGTCATTTTTAACAAAATTAACACTAATAGCACGCATACTTATGAAGTAGTTGCTGATGACTAAAAATTATACACTTTTAAAAGTAAATGTAAAACAAACGCTTCACAAAAGAGAATGTCAATCGGACTGATCAGTGATAAGTTACATAAAAGTACAAAGTTTATTTAAGGATATTTGTAAACGTGCAGTTTTGTTTACACGATGAGTTCAATTCAAACAGTTGTACTACTTATGTTTACATTAGTAGTACAACTGTAGTAGTAAACTGTAATTTATGGAAAATTAGACGTTTCCTAACATGTACAGTTTTGTAGAGGCGAGTTTATAGTCAAACTTTCAGACTTGGGGTTTTACGGTCAATTTTTCCTGTGTTAAAAAAAAAACATTTTTTTCACTTGTTCACTTCTTTAATTGTTACAGATGTGTAATTTACCGTTAAATTAAAATGTAATGTTTAAGTCACTTTTTAAAGTCTATCAAAAGAAGTTGAAAAATCGCTGCAGCTTATAAATTGCGATAATTAATCGCGTAAGCAATGTAAGGGGGTTAAATTTTAATGATTTATAAAATAAGTGGGCGTGTAAAAGAGGTTGGATAATAATATAGTTTCATACCGAAGTGTGAACTGCGACATTTGAATAGATTATTAAAATAATTACCTTAGCAGCTACTAAACAGCTTTTACCGTAACCATTTAATATTGAATCATATATACTACTATATACTTAAAATATTTTTTTCATAAGCAAAGACTGTTCCTTTTTAAAAAGCACCCATTACATATAAAAAAGCTTCCATTTCTAAACAGTTATCAGTCAAGCAGTGGGTGTTATTTTTCAGTTTTTCATATAAACTTTGTTTTTCCAGTACACTTAATAACAACTTTCAAAGATTTGTTCTTTAAAATAATACTTACAATTGGTATCTGTATTTACCGTAAAGATAATTAAAACCACTGTACAAGGTTAGGTATTTTCTATTTTCAGTCTTGTAAATTCGGTAGTATTTCTTTCTACCGTTAGATGTCGCTAAAATTAAAAATTACCAAAGCATAATCACACACAATATGCATATATGTAAGTTATAAATTGTTGTAAAATAATACTTGTACTGAAATTAATAAATTAAATCTCCAACGACTATTATTGAAATAAACGTAAAAGACATCATAGAATATGGATTGTGTCACAAAAGTAGGTAATGTCCACATTGCTCACGTATAATTATTATGAGTCTTTTTAACAATTAATAAAAATGTAATCGTTTTCAATAATTTAAGGAGATGGTATTTTTAATACCAAAAGCAGAAAATAACTAAGTTCATAGATGTGGAATAATGCGATTTTCACATGAAAACTATTTTTTAAGCGCTTTAATTTTTCCAAGCGCTTTTATTGCTGAATTGTACATTAACGTCAGATGTTTGCTGTTATTTCATTGGACGTTGAAGTCGTATGATCGTACATGACATTTAACGGTATAATATGATACATACTCTTTGGTAGTAGAACTGACGCAACTGGACGCAAGCAATTTTATAACCTAAGTTAGTCCGCCAATGCTTGCGTTACGGTACAGTCTGTGATGAACAGAGTTCATTAAATTAACGGTATATAGTCCGTTATTTTTGTATGTTTTTAATACAAATTTGATGTGTGTATTGTAGCAAATTTAATACTTGGCGTATGTAAAATATGATGTAATGTATTCGCACAGATAATTACATTTTTTGACAGCGGTTCTACTCTTTGAGTTATACAATGACCCGGTGAACATTTGTGCATTAATTACGAATAAAAGTCGGCAAAAGTAAGGAACAAGTGTACTTCTTGAAGACATAGTAAAGTAAGTATCGGACAAGTGCATTTGCATTTGGTCTGTTTCATTCATATGTAGAGAAAATATTCTATACCTTTTTTAATTTTAACACATAAACATTTGGCGCCAATTTTTTTTTTAAATAAATCTATGAAGAATATTTATTTGTGTAAATTGTGTATTTGGTTTAAGTTTAATTTATTAAATCTGGAAATAGTAACTATGTTTAAGTTAAGTTAATAATTTTAGATACATCTAGGTACGCATAATATTTACGTACACGCTTATAGATATTATCAGTTCGGTTCAAGGTAATTCCAGTATTTGCCTGGTCTAATATAAGATACATTTTAAATGTTAAAGCAGAACATGTGGGTTAAAGTACTATAAAAAAAAAACTTGCTAAGAAGTGGAACTTGAGGATAATTGGATAGTACGTTCCCATGGCAACACATTCGTACAAAATCATTTCATTCTTTTGAATGCACTTCACGGAATATGTTTTTACTAGTTGTTCCCGTGCATGAAAATTATATTTTATTGTTTACATGTGTCAAATAATCAGTTGCAAATGTCAAAATACCAATTACCTTGGCAATTTTGCTTTCTTGATGTTGGCAGCAACTTATGGTCTCTTTCCCACATTAGGGTTTTTATTCAATATATTAACCCCTTACGTTTATTGGCGTGAAAAAATATAGTCTGATGCATGACGTAAATGTAGGGCTTTTTATAAGAAGTATAATTATTAAAAATATTCTATAATTGCTTGCATCTTAGCAACAAAGAAGTGTGTGATTACGCTTTATTATAATAGTATAGATATATTAATGTAAATTTACTTTTATTATGCCTTAGTTAGTAGTAAAATAAGGGTAATTAAAGTACATTCATCGTGCTTTGATGTAAATAAAATAAATATAAACAATACAGCAAACTGTAAGATATGAAAGATAATAAGTTTACTTGTGACTTTGTAACATTGTAATTGTGTGTTCATGTAAATAAACAGATAATAGTAGGACCTGGTAAAAAACATTATAACATATTAATTAATTACTTATATTTGTTGTGTTGATTATTAATACATACCTATTATCTATTAGTGTACTATATTTTTTATTTAATTTTAAATCTGATAGAAACGTTTAAAAATGTTTGATAGTTAAAAAAATATTAATTGATGTATCGTTAAGAGACGTAACTAGCTTATGTAACTATAACACATTACAGCGTAATGATAATGTTATTATTAGTTAATTGATTATTTACTGAGATGGGGGGTCAACACTCAATGGCATAAAAGTATATCATGTAACACCACAACGTAAATATAACTAGCTTTCGACCGCGACATCGTCCGCGTGGAATTAAAAAATTAGGTACAAAGTAGTAACGAAAGTACTCTACAAACTCTAGCAAACATCCATGTAAAGTAAACTTTCATATTTTTAATATCAGAATGATTAGTTATAAATATGTTTGTTAAAAACCATAAAAACGCTGTTATACATAATTAATCATATTCTTTTTAAATCACATAATTTCGATTAACCCGAAGTCTTATCGTGTCGTGAAGACATCAAAGCTCCTTCTGTACCAATGATTACTGATGTATTGGAACATTCCACGTTCATTTAATGTTCAAATAATCAAAAGGACACTTTGGCAAGACGATGTCTGTCTATTAAAATGATTGAAACAATTGGCTCTGTTATATGATGCTTCTTGTAGAGATTTGTTAGTCATTTTAAAACTTATACGACATAGTTAGACTCGTTCTTTTGATGATTTTTCATGCTAAATCTACGATAAGGAACTCCTGTGACTTTGAGTGCGGCAATTAATATTTGCTCAGTCGTTTCTACCCACAAAATTGTATTCTTTTTTTTAATCTTAATAAGGAGGTTGGATTTTTATCTTAAAGGATATGCCAATACCATAATGAGACTCTCAGTGATTACGAAACGAGCGGACATAATCGTACTGCCGCGCCGGTAGTAGGCTCAGTCAGCATTGATATAATAATGCCAACATCAGCCGGGTTGACCTTCAACTCCTGAAAAAGTATCTCACTCCCGTCTGCTTTTCACATTCTAACAAGTGTTGGATATATTTTGGCTTTCTGTATATCTATTGGATATTTAAGCAATGTAAGTTCGAAATAAATCGATGTTAACAAAACACTTAAACTAAAAAATCTCTAGTTTAACTTTCCTACTGTCTACTGATAATGCTTGCTAATTGCTTTAATGTTATTAAGATAATGACGATAAAAGGATTGCGACAATGAAATTATACAAAGTAATGTAATTCCTGTGATATCGGAATAAGAGCGCAATCAGTGCTTAAATCGTATCATGTAATAAAGATAAGAACTGAGAATGTATGCGCAGACAATCTGAGAGCAAAACAGTAATAATTAATTACTGCAGTCAATGTGGACTAAGGGAGTCTTTTAGTGTAGATTTAGTATAAGATATTATGACTTTTTAAACGATTCTACATGTGCTTGTTTATGGAATACTGTTAAACAGAATCAAAATTATTATTACAAATAGGTCTGAAATTATATCTCGTGGATTAGAAAAGGTGTAATTTTTCCAGCTTATCTTGGTTTCATTATTTAAAATTGCTAAAGGCAGACTCAAACATGACCTACGGTGTCCTTCAAACCCGAATTTGTAAATTCATCCACTTCTTTTCAATATAGAGCGACTGTCTTAATACACCAATAAATTGTTATAATAAAAGCTTATTAAAATTAAAAAAAAAATAGTTTTTTTTTTAAGTACGTATAGTAATTTCTATCCATTTTCCATCTACAAAAAAACTTAAAAAAACAGAATAAAATTTAATTAAAAACAATAAATAACCATATATTGATAAAATACCTAAAAACTAACAAAATCGCAAATTTTTTATCTAAGTTTTTACCACAAACCATTCATACAGTACCGACATTTAAATATCGAATAACCTTTTTAGACGTATTTGAAGGTATTTTTAAAATAATTTGTGGGTAATATAGTTAATGTATGTTTCAGAACATTTTTAAAGACAAAAATGGAGCAATCAGTATTCGGTCTTTGGGACTACATAATAATGGCGGCGACTATGATAGCGTCGGTCGCAATTGGCCTTTACTTCAGATTCAGTGGCGGAAAACAGAAAACCAATGAGGTAGGTAATTTAAATAATAAAATTCCAATACAATATGAGAAAAAAAGTTTAGGGATTTCTAACGCAAATTTGAACCATGATACATTACATATTTTATACCATCCAAGACTTTCGCCCATCACATGATGTATAAACAAAAAAAATATTCGTTTGTGTCTTGCAGGAATACCTGTTGGCCGACCGAAATATGTCCATACTCCCCGTGGCGGTATCACTTATGGCATCTTTTATGTCAGCCATAACACTTTTAGGAGTCTCCGCGGAGAATTATTACTACGGCATGCAGTTCGTGGTCATTAATATTTCATACGGCATCGCTACACCCATCGCCAGCCGTCTCTACTTGCCGGTGTTCTTCGGATTGCAAAAAACGAGCACTTACGAATACTTGGAACTACGTTTTGGACCTCGGATACGAATGCTGGCGTCATTAACGTATACATTACAAATGATTCTATACAACGGTATCGTACTATACGCTCCAGCGATAGTACTAGAAGCAGTGACTGGATTGGATAGACTTATATCTATTCTATTAGTGGGTTTAGCTTGTACTTTTTACTCTACATTGGGCGGTATGAAAGCAGTTCTGTTTACAGATCTGCTACAATCGTTACTGATGTTTGGAGCAGTTTTCAGTGTTGTTGTTTTCGCTTCCGTGCAAGTCGGTGGTTTTGATCAAATATTTGTGATTGCTAAAGAACGTGGACGATTAGATTTTTCCAAGTAAGTTTTAGTTTTAATGCTTATTGACTTGTTCTAAGATGAGTATTTTTTTATCGTAATTGTTTCCTTTCAGCTTCAGTGTTGATCCAACAGAAAGGCATACTTGGTGGTCTTTGATCTTCGGAGGGCTTATAACATATCTGTCATTATACGCTGTTAACCATACACAGGTAATTGCGTTATTTTTTATCTATATTCTATACTAAATATAAAGAGGAAAAATGTGTATTTTTGGATTTGTCTATGTATTGCTATAACATCAAAACTAGTGGGCCGATTTCAAAAATTCTTTCACCATTTAAAAGCTACGTTATCTGTCTGTCTGTTATGTCTTTGTAATATTTTTTAATTCCACGTAGACGAAGTCGTGAGCAACATCTAGTACTTTTTATAAGAGTTAAACGAAAAGTTTAGTACATTATTGTTTTTGCAGGTGCAGAGACTGCTGACGGTGAGCACATTGGGCCGCTCCCAGCAGTGCTTGTGGTGGAGCTGGCCGGTGCTGTCAGTGCTTAGCGTGGTAACCTGCATCAGCGGTCTGGCGATATTCGCTGTATACAAGGACTGTGACCCGCTAGCCAGTCGCAATACCCCAGTAAGTACAAATATTCTAAAAAGTGCATGAATGATCTATGAGATATACGTGTAGAGGCATTTTAAGTAAGAAAGTTAGGCAAACAAGAAAGCGGGTCATCGAATATTATGCGAAAGACAACCAACATCCACAACGTTCTAAATTTTTTTAATAGTGTTTTTTTTTTTGTCAGGGATAGTTGATAGATTTTTTTTGCCATAGTAAAATAAAGGTTACCATTTGAATTGATAACAACTAGAGATGTTGTATTCGTGTGAAATCAAACTTATATAAAAAAAGACAATTATCGTTTAACCATATGTTCTAAGATATCAATTGAAAGAGGTTAGTCAATTAAATACTTGTAAGTTAGTTGAAACATGACACTACACGTTTTTCCTAAGCACTGCAAGTACGCGTTTAGTAACCAGTGCAATGTACTGATTTTTGCTATCGTATGAAATCAACGCGGCCATGGCAGAGCGATGACCTCGGAATAGTCGATAGAGTAAACACGAGTTGGCCTAATATGAAATTGAGTCTAGAATTTAATACAATCTTAGAATCAATAGGTACATCAGCCTATAAACTTCCGTACAAAGATCGTGTAGCGGTCAGATGATAAGAATATTGGTAAAAGTGTGGTCACCACATAAAATGGTACTTTAGTGGACGTCACGAACGGAATTAAATAATTTTAATTGATACTTAAGACATCGTTGTTGTTTATGTAAAATATACCTTCGTATTTTCCTTATAATTATGATTTATTTTACTTCTAAAGTTTTGTTCAAGTAATCATACTTCATACTAATATTATAAATGCGAAAGTTTAGATTGATGGCTGAACAGATTTTTATGATATTTGGTAGAGATGTAGAGGATATTCTGGAAAAACACATAGAGTACTTTTGTTTTTTTTTAATTTCACGCGGACGAAGTCGCGGGCGAAAGCTAGTTCACACTAAATAAAAAACTAAACTAATTTATTTTCCTAGTTGTCTGTATAAATTAGGTTCCGTAAATGAAAAAAGTGGAAGAAAAAGAAGGGAGTTCAACTAAAACAAGATTTTTCTATCAAAATTCGGATTAACTTGGTTAAGTCCGATTTTTTAAATATAAGGGTCAACGATACTAAGCTATTATCTTTAGTTCAATTGTATTAATCAATATAAAATATAACACCTTATAAGTTGGGATCAAAATCCTTGAAATTATTGTATCAATAGCTCTCTGTGACTTATCTATAGGTTATCGTAACTGTAATATTAGTTTATAAAGTAAATATTATTACATGCCACGAAACAATAGCTATAAAATATGATTTCAATGAATTAGATTACATTAAGCAAATTTTAATTTGTTTTCTTTTACATGAGAAAATAATGTCATCTGATATTTAAATAAGTACATTGAATGGATATTAATAAAAGGGGTCCGAGGAAATGTTCTAACAATGAGAAATGTTATGTTTTTTACAGCTTATTGTACTATTGTATGTCATCGTGCTGTATACTGTGTTACTTTTGTCTACGTTATCTCTCATGCGATTTCGGATTAGATATTGTTACTCGTAATTTCAATAAATCACGTTTGTTTGCTAAAGTTAGGATGTAATGACCTAAAAACTCTTAATATTGTTAGCATTTGAATCTTATATCTCTTTAGAAATTAATTACTGTTATTTAGCATACTATTAGTACAATCGGAGTAATGTCTTTATGATTAAGGCTCCCACTGCTATTTTGTCTTCTAAAAAAGATCCACTTGTTGGTTAACATAGCTACTTTTATTCTGGTCGTCTTCAGCATGTCTTACTAACATTGTACTCGTAAATGCGTAAGTTTAGATGGATATTTGTTAGAGTTTGTAGTTTAAATGTAATTTAAATGGCATAAATGTAGAGGATAGTCTGGAAGAACACAAAAACTACTCACTTTTGTTTTTTTTTTATATTCCACGCGGACGGAGTCGCAGGTGAAAGCTATTTTTATAATAATAGTTAACATGATTGAATTACTAAGTACGGTGTGAAGTAATATCTTCTACCTTTCGTATAGATGGACCATTTAATGCCGTACTACGTAGTGGACGCGATGCGCAACGTGCCCGGGCTGGCGGGATTGTTCGTGGCGGGGATATTCAGCGCTTCACTCTCCACTATCTCTGCAGCCTGCAACGCCCTCGCTGCAGTCACACTCACCGACTATGTGGGAAGGTAAACTAAACTTTCCTCAAAGGCCGGCAACGCATCTGTAGTTCCTCTAGTGTTGCAAAAGTTCATGGGCGTCGTCGACCACCTCTGTGTTCTCGCCGCTCGTTTGTCCCCTTTTATTAAAAAAAAAGAGAGTTAAATTTACGACTTGCTCGCTTTCAGACGGTTGTAATTATGATCATCGTCTGGTTACCAAAATCCATAACCCCATCCGCAGGGTGATTTAAATCTGCCGAAATTTCATTAATTCTGTCCAGTCCATGAGTCTACAGCCTATACGTGCAACGGATTCTTGTATGACTACTATATTGCCCGTCATAATTGTTGCAATAAAATAATCTATGAAAGTAAAGTTTTAAATTATGTTCTTTTCTATGCTAACAAGACCTACCAGTGTAAAGAATAGATTTATATATTTTTATAATAGTATTATTTTGTTTGATACATATTTTCATTGGAGTTCAATTTACACTGAAAAAATTTAAAAACTACAAGTACTTATTGTAAAATCTAATTACATGAAATCATGTATCAAAAACCAAATAATCTTCGTTTTTTGCAATAAAGATTTACTTACTGTTTTTTTCAAACCACTCTTTTATTTCACAATCAAAGTTGATTAGTCGTTGTGTTGCATTATTCTGATTAAATGTTACTTATTTCGCATTTTTGCAAATTGACTTTTGTTATGTAAATATACGAGGCTATTCAACTTGTATTACTCGGTTTATCGGCTCATTATTCCAAATGTTAGGCAACTACATTATTAAAGAATAATACTTATCTATGCACATACATTATTGCGTACGCTGAAAATCAAAATAAGCGAAGAATAAAATTTTTATTACAATAAATTACACCATACAATACATAGGTTGGAAGAATTCATTCAATTTGGGATTAACCTCTCTTACATCTATACATAAGTGTATATAAACGTTACGGATATACCAAGTTCTTTAATTAATGAATCGGCAAATTAATTAAATTGTATTAACTTTAATGGGACATTATATTAAGCGAATTACGGACGGCTCAACTCACGTTTAGATAAACTTATTTGACTTGTAAATCTTACTTCTTACTAATGTTATAAATGGGAAAGTTTAGATGGATGTTTCTGAGAGTTTGTAACCTAAACTAGGCTACATTATTGTTTTTTTTTTTAATTCCACCCGTAGTCGCAGGTGAAAGCTATTGTTTAATAAAATAAATGAATATTTTTTGAAATTGACCAGATGGTTCCAAGTGAATCAATCATACGTGCCGTGGCTGACTAAGATAGCGGCGTGTGTGTACGGTCTCATCTTCCTGGCGCTGGCGTTCTTCGCGCAGTACTTGGGCGGCGTGCTGCAAGCCGCGCTCACCATCTTCGGGGCGGTCGGCGGACCGTTGCTTGGAGTATTCACCTTAGGCATGTTTACAACATTCGCTAATGAATTGGTAAGTTATGATATGTGCTTTATTTCTTAGATACCGCCACTAAGTGAGACAGCTCTTGTGATGTATACTTACTTACTCAACGCGAGTCTTGGCCTCTACTCTTAATTGATTATGGTTAAAATATACACACTAGCTAATAGAGTGGAAGTACTTTAGGCGTAAACAATGCGTATAAATTAAGTTCTTTTCACATGAGCTAGTTCTAAAACTAGAAAGTCCGCAAGTAAAATCATAGAGCCTTACCTATCGATATCCAGAAGTACCATTTATGTATATTTGACGTCTGTTGGCTAACAAAATGTATAACAACGTTAGACCTTATCATCATCATCTTCCTTATTCTACTCCCGTAGGTTCGGCGCAACAAGTTTTTATCCTCCGAATAACTCTATCGTACGTCATCACAGTCATCACTCCCTTTTTGTCCTTATCAAATACCTCTCTTTCTAATGTTATATGGTAGTATAGTGTAGTATAGTATAGTGCAGAGGATAGTCTGAAAGAACACGTAGGATACTTGCTTTTTTTAACTATACGCAGACGGAGTTACAGACGAAAGCTACTATTTCACATAATTCTATTGTGTTCGTATACAACAGGGTGCATCTTTCGCGTTGGTAAGTGGTATGGCATTGACTCTATGGATGAGTTTCGGCGGGCCGCGGCCGACGCCCCTCAAACTGCCAGTGTCGGTGGCTAGCTGCGTCCACAACGTTACTCTGTCCACCCCAGCACCGGCGGACCCCACTGGATACTTTTATTTATACAGAATCTCTTATATGTGGACTAGCCCGGTGAGTATTACTTTGCGTGGGGTAACACTGTCACATATTGACATGTCAATAAGGATTTAAATTACAGTTTCCTTGTTTAGATATATGTTACAAGGAATATTTGTTCTTATGACGTCATAAACTTGTAAACATAATTTTATATAGTTAAATTGTTTTCTATTTAAAATAACATGTTACAATTCATTTTACATTTAATGTTTATTTAACTTTAAAGTTGTATTTCCTAGTTGTACGTAATATACTTCATTGTCCGTCCAATTTTATTTGTTACAATATTTATTCTGAACTATTTAATTAATGCC